AATAATAATAAACATTCTGTGTGTATGTATGTGTGTTCCCCTCGTTAAGGAAAAACAACGGCACTTCCGTTACCGAAGTTTATCCTACAAGTATTCCTCCACGCGAATATGAGCATCTCGAAGACCGAATTTTCAATTTCGAATTGGTTTTAAATTTATTAGTCCAAAGGGATTTGAATCCCGAAGGACTATTAGTTTCGTTTTGGCATTTTGCGTCGGACTCATAAATGTCGGTTCACTTTTCAAACTGTTGCCACAAAATGTTAGAGTCCTGCATTATATTTGAAGAAATTAAATAATGAAAAATCTGCATAAATGTATGTATATTTCTCGTATTGTGATAAAACAACGGTACATAGAGTCATCGAATTTTGAATAACGTAATCCTCTAACGAATATGAGCATGTGGAAGACCAAATTTGAAATTTGAAATTTGTTTTATGATCGATTTCCTATTTTTTAAAACTTTGACGAATTTTTGATTAACAAACTCAAGGATTTCAAAGCGAGCAATGGCAACGTTGTGCAGAAAAAACATTTTTATCTCCAGCGCGTGAGTCTCTGTATCGGAAATTCTAAAGATATGCTCGTTTTAAAACTATTTTGCGATATTGCTGTTGCACTGGATCTTATGGTTTAAGTGCGAGGAACATGATATTTAATAAAGAAAGGTAACACACAAAATGTTAAAAAACGCCCCTTTGGACGTAATTTAAAATCTGAAACATTTCAGATTTTTTTTTCCCTTATTTTGTACAAATTTAACTAATTTTTGCTTAACAGACTCAGAGATTTAAAAGCGGCAACACTCTTAAAAGTTAGCACTTTTGTCTCCGGCGTGCCAGACTGCTGCCATTCGGCAAAATGTAAGATAATTATCTTTCAGTTTTAATCCACAAATTTGGCTAGCAGAAAGTAATGTGTTGTCACTGTCTCCAACAAAATAATTATGATCCCTTCGCACCAGCTTCTTGCCATTCAGTAAAGCATAAGATACGTATTAGTCCAAAGGTGCTTTGTCCTTGAAGGACTATTATTTTCATTTTGCAATTTTGCGTTGGTTCACTATAAATGTCCTTTTCACTTTTCAAACTGTTGCCACCGAATGTTAGAGTCCTGCATTATATTTGAAGAAATTAAATAATGAAAATCTGTATAAATGTATGTAAATTTCTCGCATTGCAATAAAACAACGGTACATAGAGCCATCGAATTTTGAATGACGTAATCCTCCTACGAATATGGGCATGTGGAAGACCCAATTTGAAATTTGTTTTATCATCGATTTCATATTTTGTAAAACTTTAACGAATTTTTGAAAGCGAGCAATGGCAACAATATACAAGGGGGTAAAAAACCTTTTTATCTCCAGCGCGCGGAACTGTGTATCGGAAATTCTAAAGATGGGCTCATTTTAAAATTATTTTGCGACATTGCTGTTGAACTGAATTTTATGGTTCAAGTGCAAACATGATATTTAATAAAAAAAGGTAACACACAAAACGTTAAAAAAACGCCGCTTTGGACTTCATTTAAAATCTGAAACCTTTCAGATTTTTTTTTATATTTAATCTTTCTGTTACTGAGTAACAAAGCAATTAGTTTTCAAAGAAATAATACAGTGAATATAAAATATGTTACCGTGAAAGACCGAAATTGGAGAATGTCGACTTTCACCGGAGAATATCAACAATCACCAAATACGTCGGTGAAAGATCGAATATTGTACTACATTCTTGCATATTCGGACCCTCACCGGTGTATGTCGACAATCACAGATATGCTCTGGTGATAAAGTGCCATAATAGTTTAATTTGTTGCAATAAATAAGATTTGAATCACATGATTTAGTAAGTTTTTTATTACTGTTATTTTATTTTCTCATTTAGAACGTACTGTATAATTTAGTTAGTTTTTAACTTCTATTATTTTCCTTTCTCATTTTGAATGTATTGTGTGTTTAAGGTTCTTATGTTCTTATTTCAAGTTTCAAGTATGTTTATTCGCGACTGAATTACGGAGAAGAAAATATAATATTTTTATATGTTCAACATTTACCATTAGTACATAGTGAATGTCGACATTGACCGGCGTAAGTCAGAAATAAGAGTATTTGGAAAATATTTCGGACATAGACCAAAAGACTATGTGAATGTTGACATTCACCGGTGAAAGTCAACATTTTCCAGATTTCGGTGTTTCACCGTAACATATGTTATATCAAAAACGTATGGTAACCCCTAACACTCTGTCGAGAATTCTACAGACATACTCCTTTTAAATATTTTGTGATTTTGCTCATTAACTGTAGACGTAAATGCTTAATAATAAAGCTAAAGAGACAAAAAAAGAAAGCTGTTAGCAAGAGCGAGTCCAAGAGCAGATTGGTAACCTGGGATGATCAGCGAGAGCATAAAAAACCCTAAGAAATCCTATGGTGCGACGTTAAAATCTGAAAGTATTCAGATTTTCTTTTCTCTTGGGATATGTATAGTCACTTGCGACCGAACGGTGAAGTCGCTGAACAGTAGTAGTTCGATCCGGGTTTCGAATCCCGGCGAACGTGCTGGCTGCATGGGTGTTTTCGTGGGTTTCCCATGTATAACATGTATACGAGCCAGTTTCTTTTAGAAAATCCTCTACGAGGGCATCCCTTCCCTTAGGAAGATAGTCCTCGAGTGCTTTGTCACAATTAAATAAACCAAACCATACTAATTTAAGACATTAAATTGTCAGATTGTCAACAAGCTTCATGTAAACTATCATTTGCGGTTGATCCCTATAAATAACATTTGTTTGTGAGCTTTATGGTTCAATGTTCATTATAAGCACTACACACTTTGTATTAGTCTATTCTCTACATAATGGTCAGTGCTCCTGTACATATCCGTTGTCATGCTTCTTTTATTTAGCTACGAGGCCAGCCTTCGTCTGGCTTCGGAATTTACCGTAAAAATGCCTAAAGAGAACACCAAACATTAAATTTAAAACCTGAACAGAATTTTACTCTGCAGAACAACTTTATCAAAAAAAAATCAATAAAAATGTATCACATATTAAAAATATTACAATGAAATAAGCAATATCCCTTAATACAAATATAAATTAGCCTAATAAATAAATTAACCAACTTACCGTTGCAAAATCTTAAAAATTCAGATGATAAAGAGGAAGTTAAGAACTCTGTTTCCTAAAAACAATCATGCAAAACATTTCTTATAATTAAAGTTATATATAATTAAAATATAATATAAAAATTACAATGAAATAAGCAAAAAATCTCATATTTTCAAGAGAAGGCCGTCAGCAGTCAATGAATGAAAAACTGTTGCCGAAACCACATTTCTAAAAGAATGAAACGATCATCAGAAAGTAGTAACCAATCAAAATTGTGCTTTGTGGATGACATAATTAAAAATATACAAAGAATAAGATTGCGATGTGCGTGTCCATAAAACAAAAGAAAATAAGCAACATGAAATAAGCAATATCCCATAATACAAATATTAATTATGCCAGTAAATGAATTAACCAACTTCCAGTAAGAATTTTAAAAAAAATGCTAAACTTTTCAGTATATTAAATTAGTGAAATAAGCAATAAATATTTTATCTCATATTTTCAACAGTCGGCAGTCCAGTATACAAAGCATTGAATGAAAAATTGTTGCCAAAACTATATTTCTAAAAGAATGAAACTATTCAAAATGATTCGATTTTATCAAAAAAGATTAAAAAAAATCGGATTCGAATTTTGAAAAAAATCGCTTCAAGGTGCACTGGCTCTCTAGATACACCTATGTACCAAATTTCGTAGTCCTGGGTCTATTAGCTTACGTGCAGTACGAACGAAAGGTACACACACACATACAAAACTCTTTATTTTGTTATTTGTACAGATTTAAAACGTGCTTCACCATTACGCACTACACAGAAAGGGTCGGATACCCCGTGGAAGACTTTTTAAGGAAATATTTCTTATATCCACGTTACACATGAAGGAAACCCCGAAAACACCGATGCCGCCAGCCCTTTCGCCGGTACCTCGATCCGTACTACCAGAGTTCAGCGGCTCTTACCCCTCGGGGGCTGTTTTCATACTTTGTATTACTGTATTTCATACTAGTGTACTACGATTGATAGGATATGAAGATATCCTATCAATCGTAGTACACTGGTCAAATATTGTTTAGGATTCACAAATCAGTGACGCAAAAAGTCGCAAAATTTTAAAAGCATCATATTTTTAGAATTCCTGATGGAGTGTTAAGTGCTGTAATGCATTTCTTTTTATATCTGCTACATTATTTATATTTACTATATTATTTCTTTAAAAATAATACTTAGCGATAACATTTGGTGGCAGCGTCCTTTTATTTGAAAAAGATTTCGACACATTGAAACTAATGCAAAATTGAGAATTGAGGCTTTAATTTAATTGCTCCATAACCAGAGCTGGTCTTCATAATGAGCTTATTCTCGTTCTATTTAGTATAATTCAAAAAATACATTTAATGCTTATAAATATAATGGGTTGTTCTATAAATGTAATGGGTTAAATCTGAGAAGTTTCGGAAATCGGAGCTGAATTAAAAACTACGTTATTATTAACATTGTTTTTAATTGAGCTTCAAATTCGATCGAATTAAAAGTAATGTTGGTGAATAAAAACTGAATTAAAAATAATGTTCATAATTTATTCAGTTTTTATTTGCTTCGTCTTATTTACTTTGAAATATCGTCAGCGTCGATCTATAAGTTTATTTAGAATTCTGAGCATTTAAGAATATGATTTTGAGTTTCATTCAGATTTTGTTAAACAAACAAACGCAATACTTATTCAAATTATTATTTGACTGTTTCCCTGCACGACGATCGAAATTATAACTTGTGCCAACTTGGCGAGAAATTCATACGCCAAATGTTGATAAACCTAAGTATTCGTGCAGGATTTGGAAAGAAATACATGGTTCATTCGACCAGTGGCATCTTCACTCCGCAGTTCGAGTTATTTTCTCCCACGTAAACTGACACATGTCGCGTGATGTGTTCAGACAGACAGACAATACTGATACAGGATTAACAATTGTTTTATTCCATTGATTTTCAATTCTCGATTGTGTTCGATGTCTGAAGCAAGAAGTGTTCTTAGAAGCTTCGCTTTGTTTGTGAATTTTAAGATCTCTTAACACCAAAGTGATACATAAGCAAGGTAATTGCACTTATCTTTCTATGTTTCCAGTTACATATAATCATCGCCGAGTATTTCGCCATTTTTATAAATTGCTGCGCGTTAAGCAAGTAATTAAGACAGCAGGCACAATGACCGCAACTATATTCATTGTTAGGCGTTTACTATTCATTGTTTACACAGTATTCTCTCTCTCTTCTTCTTTCTTTCTTTTAGCTATCTATCTAAATACATATAGTATAAGTATAGTAATTATCAAAAGTAAAAACTTTGTAATTAAGAACATAAAAAAAGTGTAAATTTGCAAACGCCTAATAATAAATAAGGTGTTTCAGAAAAAAAGTTAAAGAAACAAAAGAAACCAAATAAAATATAAGAATTTTTTAAACAGCATTAATTTTAACTCGCGTCAATTTTGGAATTATTGTTAAACTATAGTCATTACTTAATTTAGCAACTCTTCATAAATTATTTTGTACGGAAAATGTACTTTTTGTAAAAGAAAAAGATAGTTCAATGAAGAAAGAATATTAATTCACGAACTAAAGAAGAAGTTTATATTGTTATTTTAAAACTGCATCGCTATAAATAAACAGCTTTTTACAACATATATATTTTTGCGAGCCATGACAACATTCTTTAAATCGTGTGTTCGCTAAGACTTTTTCTGTGGTTGGGCAGAATGAAATTAAAATTTAAAAGGATACTGGCTTCAGATCCATAATTCGAGGCATATTTGTAGAGCATAATTTAGAGCCTCAAGTAAAACTTTTAGCAGTAGTTACAATTACCGTTAAACGAAGCTCACCGAATAAAAATATATAGGTGCAAGACTAAAAATGCACTATAAGAATTCATTCTACTAAACGCTGCCATTTCACCTTACCTTAAAAAGTTTTTACTATCTGTCTCCCTTAGTTTAAAAAATTTGAATCTTATAATTAATCTCAATTTGAGTCTTGTTGTCTTCATAATTTTCAAATGTTATTTAAAAGAAAATTTTTGAAGGTTTTAAATTAAGTAAATGATGGGACCAAAAATGCATGCAACGTTTCAGAATAAGAGGAAATATTATTATCTAGTACTTTATATAACGTTTTCGAATTTTAACTATATAGAACATGCAGTTTTATTATTCTTAAAATGGTATAAAATTTTATAGGGATTTTATGCTTCTTGATACTTTATTATAACTATATATGATATTTTGATACTATACTTTGAACGATAAATATGATTACTGTGAATTATTCCTTTATTTAAAATTGAAGCTTATTTGATAATTAAACGATAATTATCTGAAAATTTCTTTAAACAGATTAGTTATTTGAAATGTGAACTGATTTTCGTGCCAGGGAACATGTGCGTTCCTTCTCCTGTGGCTAAATTACAGAAAGCGAATTTGAACGTAATTTATAGTTAGTAAATGGTGTTCGCCGATAACATCGCGGTCGAAAACGTCGCAGAGAAAACAACGCAAGGCATCGTGGTACAAAACATCGTCGTCTAAAATAAAGCGGTTCAAAAACTTCACAGTTTAAAAACATCGTCGTCGAAAATATCGTGGTAAAAAATAAAGTATCTACAAATCATCGCGTGACTATAACATCGCAGACATGCTTTTTTCAGACTTTAATAACTGTTAATAGATATTCCCATAATAATTTGTGAGCGCAAGATGGAAAGAAGGATAATTTGTTTTCCATATCTTATAATAACTAATAAATTTTTGCTGAAAAAGTAAGAAGGAAACTTAAGCATAGAAAATTAATGCAACCTATAGCACTTAATAGAATTTTAAACCGACATAGTTAACTAACGAAGACCATTAGTAAATCATTTTTTATAAAGTTTTTACTGGTAAGTTTTCATAAAAAGTATAATCTATAAGTTGCATTTCATTTTCTAAGCTTAAGTTTCCTTCTTACTTTTTCAGCAAAAATTTATTAGTTAATAAAAAAAATGCGAAAGTAAAAATTATCCTTCTTTACATCTTGCGCTCACAAATTATTATGGGAATATATATTTACAGTTATTAAAGCCTGAAAAAAGCATGTCTGAGATGTTATCGTCATGCGATGATTTGTAGATACTTTATTTTTTACCACGATATTTTAGACGACGATGTTTTCAAACTGCGAAGTTTTTGAACGGCTTTATTTTCGACGACGATGTTTTGTACCACGATGTTTTAGAACTGCGATGTTTTCTCCCACGATGTTTTGTACCACGAAGTTTTCGCCTTGCGTTATTTTCTCTGCGACGTTTTCGTCCGCGATGTTTTTGCCGCGGTGTTTTCGGCTGTAACCATAGTAAATATCGTTTAAGAATTTGTATATACCTGGCTACCGCTACTTGCAACGGATTCGAGGGAGCTACTTGCTGGAACTTCAAACTACACTACTCTCTTGTAAAAAAGTTCTGTATTATAAAAAAAAAAGAGGCCCACCAGCGGCCGAGGGGTAAAGTCGCTGAATACTGGTAGTTCGGTCCGAGGTTCGAATCCCGCGAACGGGCTGGCTGCATGGGCGCTTTCGTGGTTTTCCCTATGTGCAACGTGTATACGAGCCAGTTTCACTTAGAAAGTCCTCCACGAAGGCATCTCTCCCCTTAGGCAGATAGCCCTAGTGTGCTTTGCCGTAATCTCAATTAACCAAACCAATATAAAAAATAAGTTTTAACAACTGCTCCTGGAAAAATATTTTGTTGCCACTGTTGTCACTCAAATTTAAAATAATTGCTGAGACTAGATGAAAAATCATTAGCTTAATTATTAAAAAAATCAATTAAAATTAATCAATCTTTTAATTTCTTTAAATATTTTGATCGTTTAAAAAAACTGCATAAATTTTTTGGTAGTCGCATATTATTCCGAGACCGTTGGCGGAAATTTCGGCCTGCCGCCAATCGTTACTGTGAAATTCTAAAGGACATAGCTATGCAGAATTGGTGCTAAGTCCATTTGACCAGTTGATAGGATAATATGTAAGTACCACTATTTTAATTTTAATATTTATTTCACGCAAAAATTATTTTAAATTTGAATTAAACAGTTCCAACCGAAAAAAGAGAGGAGAATTTATAACGCTTTTTGAACGGAGTACGAGTAGTAGCCAATATTGATCTTTTCGTGCAAAATTTTAATATTTGTTAGACACAGACATTATTTCAACTACAAATTTCAAATATTTCATCTCGTATGTTTCACTATATTGTACAACTAATATCTAAAGCAATTCTGATATAAAAATTAGTTAAAATATCACACACTAATAGAGAATAATCAAGACCATTCAGATTTATATTTAAGTAGAATTTCATTAAGTAATATAATTTAATTATATATATAATCACAGTATTTTTCTTTGTATACCGGTTTCGGATTTTACGTAGGCATTTCCTAAAGCCCTGCAAATAAAAGTAAAGTATTAAGCCTCCCGATTATCAAAACCAATCGAATAATGCTTTAAATTAAAATCATCAAGTAACGTACTTCTGTCATATCCAACGTTCAGTTCTTGTTTTCACTCCCCATTGATATGTCTCGAATATGTTTTTCGATGCTTTAATATTCATATTAACTCCTCGAGGTCATGGAGAACAAATTTTATTCTATTCAATGATATTTCTGGCTGTTTTTGATTACACTCGTTTTTGAAAATATTTTTTGTAAACTTAAACATTGATCAGATGAGTTTGTCTACACAGCACACGCACTTTCTCTCTTCGCAATACTTTCCTCTTCCTCTTTTTGAATCGTATTAACCGAGATGCTGATGTCACTGCTTACGATGGAAATAACTAAAGTAAGCATCTCAAAATAAAGCCCATGAAATTCCCTGTGGGCCCACCAGCGGCCGGTAAAGAGCGGTAAAGTCGCTGAACACTGGTAGTTCGGTCCGAGGTTCGAATCCCGCGAACGGGCTGGCTGCAGGGGCGTTTTCGTGGTTTTCCCCATGTGTAACGTGTATATGAGTCAGTTTCCCTTAGAAAGTCTTCCACGAAGGCATCCCTGCCAATTAGGCAGATAGCCCTAGTGTGCTTTGCCATAATTAAATAAACCAAACCAAACCAAATTCCCTGTGGTAAGGAGCGTCGTTGGCAACAGCCCTAAGCACCTTACAGGTGACAGTGCGATGTAGCTCGGTTCCGCCTCCAATTTTGAAGGAGAGCAACCCGTGGGGGACGGGTCGAAGGGTCTCCCACCCCTCTTCCTCTACCACCAAGAGGACTTTCGGCTCGTCGCATATTTAGAATGGCGCATGGATACTATACGTTATACAATTACAAACATCCATGCCTTCTTCGGGATTCAAACCCGAGTCCTTTGGCTAGGCAGTCAGTGACGCTGAACACTATACTGGTTCGGCGGCATTGGAATTATACACAATAACTACATTAAAATGACATATTACCTCTTTTCCAAAATAATGTGAAATGCACTCGCAAGTCATAAAACTTGGGATTCCATTTTAAATTGCTTCAGAAATCGTTGCCATCCTCAGCTTCAAAACAAAGTATAATTAAATTAAATATTTTGATATCTTCCAGTACTTTCAAATCATATGAATCTGCGTTTTCATATCAATTTATCAGTATTTCAAATCAATTAGTACTTTTGTGTGTTAAAAATGTGGAGTTTAGAATAGATGGAGTAAGCATGACGTCACAAAATTGAAGGCAAGGAAATGTTAGCAACGTGACGTAAGTCTTATCGTGGCTGTCATACAGCGTACGGGTAAGACTATAAAAGATACACTCACGTTTGTGAAAATTGCAACACCATGAAGGACTTACGCGAGTGAGCTGAAATTTTCAGGAAATGCAAAGTAGCGCATGATATGCAAATGATTAGAATTGCAAATGCGTAGCGCATGCGTATGCTGAGCAACGCCCTCTGAACGGCTGATGGATCCGAATAAATAGACGGCTGTAGCGAGGCGTGTATGGTTATCGGTGGTTATCTGCTAGTGGTAAACGTTAACTCAATCTGTACTTATGCCTCGTCGACGAAAGAGAGC